ACTGAAGATTATTTAGGTTTATGTTTGGTGTAACTGTAGAAGTCAAGACTGACCCAGACATCCAGCACTAACTCCCATTATCAGCAGCTTGGTGTAGGTGTTTGACTTTTGTTCTACCCCAAGTTTTCCATTCTTGATGCCTTTCCCTTGCTGACAGCATAACTGCCTTGTCGAAGTCAGGGAAAGAACTACATTAAGCAGCAAGCTATTTGCAAATATCACTGCTTTCAGTATGTTTAAAGGTCCCGGGACATCTCATCCCTCACTACATAGAGGTAGACAACAAAATCTGGCTTGCTCATTGCATAGAAAGGCCATGACACCTGTAACTGACTAGACGTCAAATCTGGTTCTCAGGAAGTAATTCAGGATTGGACTGCTGCATTTATTTCTTTGAAGAACTCCCGACATCTTAATCCAATATTGTAGCAGCTGGTACCATGATCTTTCCAGTGTCTCCACTGCTCAAGAGCTCAATGCATCACCCAATAAGCAACACCCAAGATACGAGACATGCCTGATATACCTACATGCGACCCTGGCTCTGACTTAAACCCTTCACAAGCATCTAAAGAAAACAACTGCTGCTACTCACTGCCATATGGAGCATTTTTGTCTACAATGAGCTGGTATCACATTCAAACTATTTCTATGCAATGAGCAAGCCAGATTTCAGAGTTTCGGAGCCGGGCTTTCAGGGAAACAGCTGCACGCTGCTGCACTGCTGTGTGACTTGGCCCTGCAGGGAGCAGAGATCCAGGGCAGTGCACGGTGGGCAGCAGCGGAGAGGAGAACCATGGCGCGGATCTCTGCTCCCTGCGAAGCCAAGTCATGCAGCAGGGATCAGCAGGCTTGCTCACTGCTCTGCACTGCTTCCCTGCCCCGTGACCCGGCATGAGAGGGATCAGAGATCCATCCAGGGGTCTCTTCACTTGCATGGCCCTCCCCCTGCCCCCAATGAGCCACCCACAGCTCCGTCCTACTCCCCCCAGCCCCAAGCCCCAGCTGGGCAGCAGGGCTGTGCGAAGCTTGCAGCCCATTTGAAACAGATTTGGAGGAGATTCAGCCAAAACGAAACAGGACAATGACCCAAAACAAAATCACTGTCCTCTGTAACGGCCAAATCTGAAACTGAACTGAAACACAGCTGTTTCACACAGCCCTAATACCCACCCACAATACTGAAAGAATAATTCAGATAAATTACCACCATGCAGTAACAATGACTCTTAGTGAAGAAAGTTAACAATCTGTTTGTTACACAGCACCTCATTGCAAAGCAAGTGTCTACGAGTGCATGAATTGTGTGGGTGGGAGGCAGAAGGGGGACAAGTCCTAAGATACATTTTTTAGGCTGTCCACTCCCTCAACAGCTCAACCCTCTATTGAAAAAAATCAATTATTGGTATTTAGCAAGTGCTGTTTTGCTAGTTATAAAATATTTTTTCCTATTTGAACTGAGTAAAGCTTTCTTAATGCAGAGATTAGTACTTCAGTTTCAACATTTGATTAAATGAAACAATCCAGCTTTACTACCTTTTAGTGCAGATACATATTTCTTTGACTTCTTCAAGATTTTTTGATATTCAGCAATCGCTTCCTTGTATCTTCCTAGAAGCTGATCAATTACTGCAGCCTGGTAAATACTGTAAACAGACTCTGGGTTCAGTTCACTGGCCTTTGTGAAGGACTTAAGTGCTGTCGTATAGCCACCTCTGCTCAAGTAGGCCTCCCCTAGAGACTCCCAGCAGTTGGAGTCCTTTGGATCTGCCCTCAGAGCTGCCTGCAAGCTAAACATGTCAAGTAAGACATCAGATTAAATTAACCATATTAGTGCAAGATACAAAAATCCCTGCTTTCTCAATACATTTATCCTTGTCCCCAGAAATGTGTGGGTAAGAAACCATATATGATCAAAATATTTCTTAGGTTTTTCTGCTTTGTTTTTAATCCTGACAATTTTTAGCTTCACTCAGACATTACCAGTGCATAATTCACCAAAATTACAAAACTGGTTTGTTTAGGAGTGGATTTTGGCCACTGGTCTTAACATAAGACCAGATGATTTGGCAGTAGCTGCTGCAGCATCAGCAACAAGTCAGATTTATGGATAGAAAAGCGAGTTGTGTTTTATTCACATAACCTGTCTGTTATAATGTAAATAATAAACAAAAGCTGTGATATGACATGTCCAAATGTTGAACGAGTTACGCTCTTACTCAATATACAGATAAAGTGAGGTCCTACAATATTTACATTATTCTCAGAAAAACAGCTTGACTGAAGACAAACTGTTCAATTGGCTTTGCACAGGCAACTTAAGCTAAACATTAGTTCTTACTCAGCTACTGCCTGTGAATGCTGATTGGCTCTCAGGTAGTAAAGACCACGACGAATCCATGCCCATTTTGCTGCACCAGCACTTGCTTTTTCAGTGACTGAAGTCAAGACTGCTATAGCATTCTCCTGATGAAGACCCAAAAAGTCAGATTAGATACATACACATGTATAACACAGAACAAAGTTATCATTCCTGCTTAGTATTAGGTATATTCTTAATACAATACCCAATTAACTTGTGGTAAGATAGGAGATCAGGTACTTTAACAAGAAAGAAGTACAAGGTTTTTCCCCTTTCAAGCATAAGGCAACATTAATGCCTGGTCCATAATATACTGTGGTTATCACACACTACTTTGACAAGAGGACTATAATCAAGACTGGTTTGCTTAGACTGGTCTTATAAAGCCAAGATTCTCATCTCTAAAAAGATATTATATCCCATCTACAACATGCTCTTCATGTAGGATTTAATTTTTTGCTATAAAGATAGCTTTTTTTTAATTTCTGGATTAAGTTGCTAAAAATCAAAGCAGACAGTTGATGGAAGGAAGGGAACAGAAAAGAATCTGTATCAGTCAACCTTACTAAATGGACAGGAGTAGTCTGCATCCCTCCTCCTTGGTTAGTTGCCACTAGTTTGAGGGAATTCCAATTACACCCAAGATCTAATCAAACTTCATAAAATTTAATAAGAAACAATTATAGGAACCTTTCAGATCTAAGTGTCATTTGCCCAAATTGCAAAAAAAGTGTTAGAGTATAAACAAACATCTGAAAGGAAAAAGAATCAGGCATCTAAGAAAGAAGAGTAAGTTGCATGCTGGTGTCAATGACTATCTTATCTGTGGGAGGTTAAAAGGTAACATTCTTCTGAGTATTAGAAAACTGACTTTCAGAAAGCTTTTGAAACTGTGTTAGAAAGAGTACTGGAATTTTGGTAAAAGGATGTAATCAACTTAAATTCCAGATAACATTCTCTAATAAATATTCCAAAATGAGGAAGGTACTCTTAAATAAACTTTAATCCATTTGAATAGCTAGAACACTGCACCTTCCAATTAGAAAAGTATGGCCATTATAAAAATCTGGATTTCTCTGAGCAAAAATATTTAAAGCTTTTAAACAGAATAGTGTTAGATGGAAGCAGCAACCATATCACTAGAGTTTCAGAACTGCTCTAATGTCTCTGACAATATTTTAAGGTTTTTGGGTTTTTTTCCAAATTAAGTTTTATAAATCATCATCATAATATTAAGTCTTCCTATTAACCAAATTTCAAAAACTCTTCTAAAATGTGGTCAGATATGGATTACTTTGGACTGTTCTTTTATTATGCAACACTGAAGAATCTGTTTATCCAAGTGGGTTTTTTTGGCATGGCAAAGACAGAAGACACACTTAAGCCCCCTCTATACATGCAGGTCAAGGCATGGTTGGATTTAATGCATGATCCACACAATCATGCCTCCTGCCGTATCACACATGCATAGCAGGAGGCGTGATTGTGGGATCGCACATTAGATCCAATTGTGCCTTATTGCCTATGCAAGGGGAGTCCAATTCTGGGCTCCCCCTGCATTGGCAAGCAAGCACCCTTGGCTGGAAGCCCCCTTTGTTGAGGCAACTGTGGCAGCAACCTGTAGCTGGGATCCAGAACCCCATTAACTGTGGGGACTCCGGGTCCTGCCTGCATGCAAGGTGCAGCCCAGACCCAAAGCCCTGTATGTGCCCAGGGGTTTTGTGCACCCCTGAGACTTGGGGATCATGGCAGCTGTGACTCCCAGGGCTTGGACGGTTGTACCCTTGTGGCTGGGAGCCCTGTCAGCTGACAGGGCTCACAGCTGCAGGGGAGACCCTGCTACATGTGAAAATTAAAGCTTGATAGCAACCAGTTATAAAGTTAGTACACATGTTTGAGGTCTCACTTTATAGCTGGTTGGAGTTTTTTAATGGTGCAATAGCTATCTTGCATGTGTAGCTGATCTCAAGCTAAGTGCACAATTAACCAGTTACTTGTGTGATATCTGTAATGTGTAGGGGGGTCCTTACATTCCTGAAAGTTAAAAGTTTCCCAATAAAAGGATGCATGCCAAAAAAAAAAAAAAAAAAAAAAA